TATTTTGTTTTTGTAATTCATAATTTTAGTTTCTCAGTTGTTAATAATTTCTTCAATTTTGGTTATTTTGTTTTCTATTTGAGTTATTTGTTGGTTTTGTTGATTTGGCATTTTTCTGCTTTAATTATTAAAAATTTCTTCTTCATCTTTTTGGGTATAAATTGTAAAGAATAGAGTTAGTATTCCTAAAGTGAGAATGATTATAGTTTGGTTTTGCTCAAAAAAGCTTTTGGTACTTTTTGATGGATTAGAGTTATTATGTGTTCCTGAACTACTTCCTTTTTTTCCTTAGCATTTTTAGTTGGGTTAGTCGGAGAAGGTTCAGGAGCACCACCACTTACTAATTTTTCTATATCATCTAAATAATTGTATCTTTCTAAATTAACGAGTGGATTATACTTCAATTTTTTTCTTATATTTTTGATTTCTTCAGTAGCTTCATTAACCAGTAGCATTAACTTACTTTTTTCTTCTGAACTGGTATTAGGATCATTATATTTAGTTAAGTTCTCATTGTATTTACTTTCTGCTTTTCTTAAATCATCCTCTAATTGTAAAAGAGCCTGTTGATCCTTGGGTTCTAATTTTTTAATGGCAGATAATTGAGTAGTTAATTTACTAGTAAAATTGTCTAAGTATTTCTTTAGGAATTTACCAAAGAAATCATTTCAGATAATACAGATACCGCCTACTGAAGTAGCACTAGTTACTTGGCATTTACTTAAAAGTTGTTGAATTTTAGAAATTAGTGCTTGTTTTCTTTGGTTAAATATTTGCTCGTTAGCAGATAACTTGATTTCTTGGATATCATCATCTACTTTAGCAAGACCATTAAGAAAACCAGCTAATACGCCAATATCTTCATCTAAATTATGCGAGCCACCTCATTCACATTGCCCACCTGTTCAGTAAGTTCCATCATCACTAATTTTTTCAGCTTGACGAGAACTCGTTTCAGCAAAAAACCGCACTTTCAAATCTTCTTTATTAGTGAAATTCCCCGTAACTATTTTGCTAACTTTTTTTGGTTGTTTTATTTTTCCCATATTTCTTTAAAATGTCTTTCTAATTCTTCTGCACTGTATCGTGTCATATTTTTAAATCTTTAAAATTCGGTCAATTTATTGGTCTCGGTAATACATGTAAATAGCTTTGAATATTTTTCGAGATTGTTCAATGCCGGTGGTGATGCCAGTTCTATTAAGACCACCACTTTCATGCAAACCACCTCTCAGATAACCTCCTACATAATTGTCAAGTTCAATAACATACCAAAGCATTCTATCTATTCCCAAAAGAGACAAATTTCGCTTAATTCCTTGGTAAAATTGACCAGTGGAGTTAGAAACAAAAAACTCCTCGGCAAATCATTTATCTCATCAACTTCTTTCTTTCTCTAATTCAGTTCTAGTAGTAGTTAACTGAGAACTAATCTGATTATAATTAGTTTGTAAACTAGTATTTTGATTTCTAAGCATATTCAACTGTTCATTAGCCGTATTATAACTACTCTGTAAAGTATTAATCCTAACTTTAACTTGGTGAGCAGTCTCATTAGGGAATGATTGCTTTCACTGAACTAACTGGTTAAATTTAGGCTTTAAATTAGTTCAAGTTTTAAGTAATTCCTCTCGGATCATAATTGCAAAAAAACAGTTCTTTTAAGGTTAAATAATAAGTAGATTATCTATTATTAAGTGTAATTCTAAGGGTAAAAATAGTTTCTTTAAAGTCTAACATTGATAAAAATAGTGGTGGCTTAAAATCTTTACTTTTTGCTATAGTTA